TCTAAGCGGCTGAAACTTCCAGTAGCTGTTCATTCATCCTCCGTGGAAATCTTGATATGTCAATTGCGTGTCCCCTCCCAAGGGGGGGGGGGGGGGGGATGGGTTGGTGATGGACAAGCAAGCATGTAATCTCTATGGAAACCAGGAATTAAGCTCTGAAGGCATGTGCAAATTGAGGTCGCTTGAGTGACCTTGCCCTTGCAGCTTTGTAATACACAATTTTATACTCAGGATAAATGTATTATGAAAAAAAAACATGGATCATGTACAACATACACATAATGATTCAATATGTAATATAATGACATACCTTGACTCCAGTTCGGATAAAAGTTCATTTAAGGCATCTATAACAGTGGCCTGAAGAAGAATCATTGAGAATTTGAAAAGCGATTTATCCGTTTATCCAGGCTACATTTAAATGAACAGTCAGTTGAAAAAAAATCATCCAAATGAGATCGTCAAAATTACTTGGAAACAATCAAAGTTGGCATACCTTAAGTCCATGGCTTGGTTTGTTAAAGTCACTTGTAGAAGGTCCGCCAGTCATCAAAAGTTTCTGAAAAAACAAAAAAATAACATATTTGTAGACGTAGGACTTAATAGTTACTTTATAGTTGCATTATTACCATGAGATTCTCAGTTCAGTCACCAAGTCTAGGTGGTAAAGTCTAGGTGCTTCTAGGGAAAACGATGACAAATATGTTTAAATAAAAAAAGTCTACTACAGAAAGATGGTCCAAGAGTCTATCACTAACACTATATTATATACAGCAGGATCCTTGTAACTAGTGCACTTTTCAAGCTCAAATCCAACCCAGCCAGACACTACCGATCAAGATACATCATTTGCATTCATCAAAACATGCCCTCACACCACTGATCTTTAACATGATAATTCATTTTTGCTCACATGTAAAGACTCTTCTGTCTCCCCTTCCTCTGTTTTCCCACTCACAGAGCTGTTGAAAAAAAGGTGATAGAAATATAAAATTTAAGATGTTTGCCCATGTACAGGTCTGCATACAAGACATATTGAAAAACAAAACACTTTCACCAGTCCTACCCTGCATATTCTTCTCTGATAATCTTAAGGGCTGAAAAAAAAAACAAAAATTCATATGTGAATGGCAAGCTGAGTTGTTACAGTATTTATCATTACCACAGGAAAAGAAACTGACCAATTAATTATTAATAATTACGTTTTCTTGACCATACATGTACATACCTCTACGCACCATATTTCCAACTACAGAGTCTATAAAAGAAAAATATAGATCACATTTTGAAGAAACTTTCAAGAAAGGGATTAAAACTAAAATTAATTTAATTAAAAATTATCATACTGTACATTCTTAACCTAAACTCTGGTCCCCTAAACACATTACAATTAAATTGTTGTAAGACAAATACTAAAATTAAAACAATTGGTCCCAGACCTACATTGTACATGTATGTATATCCATGACAGCTGTGTGTTATAAAATTACAGAGCTGCAGTCAAACCGAGCATGTTTACGACAATGAATATACATGGTGAGTGGTCATGTAAATGTACTAAGGTCACAACGACGTCAAAACATTGCTACTGTATATCAGTATAAATCTACTAGCATTCTATCACGAATGCTGTTCTCTGATTGGCTATGCTACTCACTATCTATTTTGTGATAGATAGTGAGTAACGTAGCAGTGTGCCCTTGTTAACAAAATGACAGCCAATTTTTGGCATTTTCCAAGTGTCTGTGAATAGGATTTAGGTAAAGTTTTGAACGGCTAGTAGATTTATACTAGAACAATTAGATTATTCGCTCTCGATTTCTATGCCTGATAGTTGACTCAGGCTGAACCCTCGTCAACTATCACGTGATAGAAATCTCAAGCTCACATTCTAATTGTTTATCATAAAATATCTTTAGTGATATTACACACACTCTAATTGGCCGATAGGTGTGTTTAGATGGGAGTATGTAAACACAGTTGTGGCATTTTAGATTTGCACATATTTTTAAGAAATATTTTATAACAATAAAAGAGCTCTTTTTGCATGTTTACATAGCCTCATCTGAACACTTGGGGGATTGGAAGAATTCTCGAAAGTTACATGTACGCAAACCCTCCACTACATGTCCGGTTTGCTCATCTATCTCGAAATTCTCTATACCCCTCTCGTGTACAGATGAGGCTATGCAGACATGGAAAAAGTGCTCTACAGCTCAATTAGCATCAGCTGAGTTGACTTTTCATTCTGATTCACTGGCCAGCCCAAATCATGGTCAACGGATTACTGTAAGTCACTCATAAACCATAACTTTAACACCTGATCATTAAATTGGCCTCCACCTCAGCAGAAAGATATGGCTGCTAGCCATGCAAGCTGTAAGAGGACAGATTAGATTAAAAGTACAGCAAAGAATCAGTGAGACATAATGACCTGTTGGTTGAGCACTTGCCATTTTCTTTCCTTCTGTTCTCATAAACTGCATAAGTTCACTATAGGAAAGATAAACTAAAATAACTATCAACTTTATTCATGCAATATGTGTACTGTACATGTAATGGTACAATTTATACCCTTTATTGTACAATTCAGTATTTTCCTTCGTTGTATATCCACAATCATTATATAAATAACCATAAACTGCAACTACAACAAGGGTAAAAGTGAATATCACCACATGTACATAATAAAAATAATACNTTTCTTTTTTGCATAATTATTCTACAACACGCTGAGCTTCTTTTTTGTTTCTGCTACACTGTTCTTACGTTTCGGCAATTTACGATTAAATTACACTGTTGTATCACTACTTCCGAAACAACACAAAACAAGTTTCTCATTGCTTGGTGAAGCTAGTTCAAAGCACGACATGGCTTTTATGAGAGAAGTGATTTCCACTTAAGTCCAATGTATAACTCAGTCTGCTCCGGCAATAGTACTTTGCATTCGTTTTACAAACAATACAGAAACAATAGAAAATGAAGCCATTAAAGCGTGTCCACTGAATTACGGGTGCCCCGTTATAGAGCGGATTTCAATTGTCATGAGTGTCGAACGCAATCAGACAAAGAATGTGGTTTTGGTTTTAGTACGGTTTGAGATTGGCTGAGTAGTCTAATTGGTAAGTAATTGATTTGGTTTCGGTTTTACGACAATTAATTGAAAACCACTCTAAAAAGGTTCCTATTGGATACCTGTTATGAAGACACACGTAATCGCCCGCCAATTGCGTGGCGAATGGTTAAGAGGAGAGCCTACCAGGATCGAGAATTTTGTTAACGATACGATTATTCTCGGCGACACTTCTTTACCGCATGCCTCACTCATATAACAAAACAGAAGACGACTAATTCTAGTTTATTTCTTTATTTTCCCACCGCCAACCTCTCCGTGCTTTACTATGTATTTTACAAGTTCTCGCGCTGGCGAATACTAAAGAAGCCACTTCATATCAAACAGGAGTCGTGTGTGAATGTGCTTCTGTGAGAATAGTCGTGTACCTGGGCGCAGCCACTACTGGCCTGCAAATAAAAACACAACACANAATTACACTGTTGTATCACTACTTCCGAAACAACACAAAACAAGTTTCTCATTGCTTGGTGAAGCTAGTTCAAAGCACGACATGGCTTTTATGAGAGAAGTGATTTCCACTTAAGTCCAATGTATAACTCAGTCTGCTCCGGCAATAGTACTTTGCATTCGTTTTACAAACAATACAGAAACAATAGAAAATGAAGCCATTAAAGCGTGTCCACTGAATTACGGGTGCCCCGTTATAGAGCGGATTTCAATTGTCATGAGTGTCGAACGCAATCAGACAAAGAATGTGGTTTTGGTTTTAGTACGGTTTGAGATTGGCTGAGTAGTCTAATTGGTAAGTAATTGATTTGGTTTCGGTTTTACGACAATTAATTGAAAACCACTCTAAAAAGGTTCCTATTGGATACCTGTTATGAAGACACACGTAATCGCCCGCCAATTGCGTGGCGAATGGTTAAGAGGAGAGCCTATCAGGATCGAGAATTTTGTTAAAGATACGATTATTCTCGGCGACACTTCTTTACCGCATGCCTCACTCATATAACAAAACAGAAGACGACTACTTCTAGTTTATTTCTTTATTTTCCCACCGCCAACCTCTCCGTGCTTTACTATGTATTTTACAAGTTCTCTCGCTGGCGAATACTAAAGAAGCCACTTCATATCAAACAGGAGTCGTGTGTGAAAGTGTGCTTCTGTGAGAATAGTCGTGTACATGGGCGCAGCCACTACTGGCCTGCAAATAAAAACACAACACATCAAATTTATTGATTTCAACTTTGGCAAAAAAGAAAAAAAAAATTAGGGACAATTACTTGATGCAGAAGAAGTGTATGCTTGTGTCACCTTGTTAAATTATCGGGATGGACAAAGAACTTCAAAAGGCCGGGATACTTTGTTTAATAACCGAGGAATAAATAGAACAAGCTCTCCGATTGGTGTTCTTTCGAGGAGATGAAAATAAGACAAGCTCTGATTGCTTTACCTTGTCATAAGCAGTTGTCATCTGCATGATATAGCTCACTGACAAGTCGATACACGTAAGACGGAGAATAACCACCACTAGAAAGGAAAAACAAACGTTTGGACACAATCTCCAAAATCTTATGAGAAGTAGTTAACAATGAAGAATACGACGTTTTCCCTTCCATATCGTAAATCTTCTAAACCAAACCAAACCCAGAGTACTGGGGCTTCTGTTCCCGAGCTCAATTCTTCGCCACGTTACCACGCTCGAGCTCAGATTTTTGACTCCAGAATCAAACGCACTAAGCATAAGGTCACTGTGATTCCCACAAGACGACATGCAGCACGGTTTTCTTTCGCACGGAACTCAAAACAGTGAATAGAATACTTACATGTTTGAAATGCAAAGGTTTACTAAATCTGGCGGTATGTAGTCAAACACTGGATTGTGGACATCAATTTTAGACAATATNAAACAGGAGTCGTGTGTGAAAGTGTGCTTCTGTGAGAATAGTCGTGTACATGGGCGCAGCCACTACTGGCCTGCAAATAAAAACACAACACATCAAATTTATTGATTTCAACTTTGGCAAAAAAGAAAAAAAAAATTAGGGACAATTACTTGATGCAGAAGAAGTGTATGCTTGTGTCACCTTGTTAAATTATCGGGATGGACAAAGAACTTCAAAAGGCCGGGATACTTTGTTTAATAACCGAGGAATAAATAGAACAAGCTCTCCGATTGGTGTTCTTTCGAGGAGATGAAAATAAGACAAGCTCTGATTGCTTTACCTTGTCATAAGCAGTTGTCATCTGCATGATATAGCTCACTGACAAGTCGATACACGTAAGACGGAGAATAACCACCACTAGAAAGGAAAAACAAACGTTTGGACACAATCTCTAAAATCTTATGAGAAGTAGTTAACAATGAGGAATAGGACCTTTTCCCTTCCATATCGTAAATCTTCTAAACCAAACCAAACCCAGAGTACTGGGGCTTCTGTTCCCGAGCTCAATTCTTCGCCACGTTACCACGCTCGAGCTCAGATTTTTGACTCCAGAATCAAACGCACTAAGCATAAGGTCACTGTGATTCCCACAAGACGACATGCAGCACGGTTTTCTTTCGCACGGAACTCAAAACAGTGAATAGAATACTTACATGTTTGAAATGCAAAGGTTTACTAAATCTGGCGGTATGTAGTCAAACACTGGATTGTGGACATCAATTTTAGACAATATGTTTCCTGCAAGACAAGCATATGATTATTAACATCACTTCTTAAAAACGGTGTTATGACATCATAAAACTATTTTCAATTCAGTGATCTTACCTTCGGAGAACTTCATAACATCATGAGGAACGACGAATTTATTGCAGCTATCCTGCAAAAAGGAATTAAAACCAAAAGGGGTAAGGACGAAACCTTGTCATTTAAAACCGAACGAATTTAATAATCGACAAACACGGCATATGTGAACGCGAAATTCCGGAAAAAANTCTTTCGCACGGAACTCAAAACAGTGAATAGAATACTTACATGTTTGAAATGCAAAGGTTTACTAAATCTGGCGGTATGTAGTCAAACACTGGATTGTGGACATCAATTTTAGACAATATGTTTCCTGCAAGACAAGCATATGATTATTAACATCACTTCTTAAAAACGGTGTTATGACATCATAAAACTATTTTCAATTCAGTGATCTTACCTTCGGAGAACTTCATAACATCATGAGGAACGACGAATTTATTGCAGCTATCCTGCGAAAAGGAATTAAAACCAAAAGGGGTAAAGACCAAAAATTGTCATTTAAAACCGAACGAATTCATAATCGACAAACACGGCATATGTGAACGTGAAATTCCGCAAAAAAAGCCCGATGAAAATATCCCCTACCGACAATTACCTCCCCCCTCCCACGTCAACTTCTATTCCATGCCCCTCCCCTCCTTTTCCCTTACATGTAAGAAACATGTATTCACCTGGTCATATGACACGATATACTGTGGTGTAAGCTTATACATGGCCGCACACACGATTAGCTGTAGAAAAGAACAAAAGATGTCAATATACAACTTACGGTATACACTGTAGTGCCGAAATCGGTGGCTGTCGAGACCAGAACAGATTTAAAACATGAAGAAGTGTAAGAAGAAGTAAAAGCTAATTGGATACACATTTTGTTACATGCGTGTGCAAACAACAAAGTTCAAAGAAGACTGAAGGAAAAAACATAGTAACAACACTCTCAAATTTCAACAGAATATCGAAGGGAGAGGCTTACGGTAAGTTCGTAACCTAGGTCGTCTGGATAAAACTACAATCAAACTTCTTTAAGAGTGTGTCAATGAGAAAACCAGGCAGAACCAGCAGGAGGTTATATTTTTACCTACCTTTTTGTCTCAGTCATTTTCTCACCAAACCCAACAATTGTGCCAAGTTTGAGCGAAATTGGTG